ATTCAGTCGAATGCGACACATTTATACACAGGACAGATTACTACTTTAGAACTTTTAGACGTTTAAAAGAGAACGCTACACATTTTATTTTTACATACGCCCAAAGGAAGGTTATTTCACAGATAACACCCTTAGACTCGCGGTTGAAGGAAAGAGTTGGCGATTTTAGCTATGAAATCTGCGCCCATTCATGGACCAGTCTCGGTGATTGTGTATGAAGCCTAGTCCTGTTTGAAGTGGCACGCCGGGTGGTCTTGGTATATATAGACATGTTATAAAGCTCATAGTTCACTCTCCAAATGGCTCACCACTTCCGCCAAACAATCCATCAATATGCTTCTGGTTGCTTCGTGAAAGAATTGAAGAGGCATCGAGTGTCTTCTATAAATATGATATGCATGAAAGATCGGAGCCAAATCATAAATGTTTCGAAGTATACTTAATGCAAGTTTATTAATAAACTAAAACAAATTTCATAGGTTTCCAGTCTGGTTGACCTACATTGAAGTTTCGAAGTTGGATAGCGGGTTTATACTCTCGACTGAACGTAATTTGGGCCTTATAAGTTAAATTGTTTTCACAATTTCATTATTTAAGACTGCTCTTGCAACAAATCAAATCCAAATCTTGAACTTAGTCCTTTGAAAGGTATTGTGGTCAAACAATTCAATCATATAGTTATTATTCTTCCATTGTTAACGTAATTTACTACATGTTTTACTAACACTCTAAGACTACACTAAGATATGATAAATCGACTATTAACCTTGTTAAACAGGTGTGGACCACCAAAGCTAAGCCTAATCCAAATTTAAACAGTTCATTAGGGTCACTTGTAACAGTTATAACACCGTAATAAATCTTAAAGATGAGCCGACGTTTAGTTTAAGTCGTGTCGCCTATCTATTCAATATTTATGTGAACTCCTCCGAACTTGAAAGGGGAAGTCAAAAGAGCAGAACCCTGGGCTGTTGAAAGAAAACTGACTCTTTTGAAATGTAAATCTGTGTTTGTTGGCGATTTGGCGTGGTTTCAGAGCCGACACATGTCCAGAAAATACTTTCCCACAAAACACAGATCGACGAGCTACTGTATAGCTTCTGAGCGAGCGCTTTAAAGCCAAAGAACACAAAAGAAACGCTTAGTTATGGTTGGGGGTAGGGGGGGGGTTATAACCTAATACTATTTTATTTTAAGGTCATGGTGATTTATTTCATACTGTAACTGTCAATTAGTTTGTTTTACAAAGTGAGCATCTGTATACTGTAAGTAGCTAAATTTTCTATGCCTACTGTTTCCTAAATGTCCCTTTTATCTTGTATGTTTTATTCAATTTTATCATCAACAATGTGAGTTGAACTACTTATAACAATTTTTTCGATAGAAATGAAACCGGTAGCATTTTTGTTAGGATATTTTGTAACAAACCTACCAGTGAACGTTCGGGAACTATTTATTGAGACAAAACCTGAATGACAAGCAAGTATCAATTAATATTTTTTATGTTTCTGTGCAGAGCACTAACACTTAAGATATCGTGGTTATACATTGAAAACTTATTCCTAATAACATAAGTAATTCATCATTAAAATTGTCCCTCTGGTGCATTTTCTGATGTATTGCTTGGTTCACAATTTCTATGTATCATCATGTAAGTCAACTGTTTTAAGAAAATCAGCTAGTTGATAATATGTTTAAAGCATTGATCAAAAACTGTACCACACATCTTTACTCTTTATCAAATACTAGCTGACCCGACAGACGTCGTCCTGTCCTAATGTGGTTTTATGTCAAATGCTCGTTCATTTTCAAGATGAGCTCGTTCGCATGGCTCAATCACGTCCTGGTTGAGGTTCGTTCGCTACGCTCACTCACCTTTAGGTTGGAGCTCGTTCGCTGCGCTCACTTGCCTTCAGGTTAGCTCGTTCGCTACGGTAACTCGCCTCTAGGTTGAAGTTCGTTCGCTACGCTCACTCACCTTGTGGTTGCAAATTAGCTGTTTTCTTAACTTTAAAAAATAATAGTGCTGCACCCTGTTGGTAAACATGTTAACTTTTTAATGCTTAGAACATCACAGAATCAAATTGTTTAGTTGAACATGGTTGAACCAGCTGTTAAAATTCTTTTATTCCATTTAATTATGAGTACTCATAAGGTTAAAATGGGGAAACTCCAGAGCCAGTGGGGCGGAGCCCTTTTGAAGGATCTGCACCAAACTTCACACAAACCATCCTTGAGTAATGCTTAATAATACCTGAAAGTTTTATTACAATCTGTCGAGCGGTTTCGTAGTCCATAAAGAACAAACAAACAAACAAACATACATTGGATTTTATATATATAGTCAACAACAGACATGGCGTATGCAGTAAAATTGATGCACAGATTATGTTAAACCTATAAATCGCTCTGAATCATCTGGTTTAACGAGCAAACCACTGAGCCCAACGGCACGGTAGCCAAGTTATAAACTGGCCAATGGATATAAAATCAGCTGTTGCAAGCAGTAGCGATCAGCTGTTGTCTAATCACCTGTGTTTACGGTTATGGCCTGCTTCCCACCTGGGCAATAAGCCATGTAGCCTATCGTACACATCGTAATATGAGGGCTTCATGACGTAAAGGCAGCATTTGATGGTTGCGGGGGTGTAGCTACATATTATGCCTACTTGCTCCAGTTGTTCCATAACTAGAAGTGATATAAGTATCAATGTTTAATACAAGGTTTAAGCTTTCGCCGATTAAAATTCAAGCATTAAAAAACCTTTTTTTTAAGATTGATGATAAATATTGTTGAACACTTTAAAAATGTTGAGATTTATCCTGCAAGTAATGTTATGTTAAAACTTAAGACTTTATTCCATTAATGAATTGTGACATATTCTACTGTGTAAATAAGGATGTAACTGTCTATATAAAAACAGGAGTATAGTATTGAACGTGATATAAGTAAAACTAAAATTTCGTAAATGATTGAAAATACGTTTTCTACTTAAGAAGGCCTTTGGAAACAAATCACCGACACCTTCAGGTGCATATAAATGCATAAAAAGTTAAAAAGTTTGGTTTCCTCAGATTTTAATATAGATTATAAACACACTTGGTATTCAATAATGGGTGGTAAAGGTGAACAATGGAAATTGTGAATGAAATCCCAAACTAGTACTATCTGGATGACAGTTTGTAAACCTTTTATGACTATCATAACGGTAGGAAAATCATATAGTGAAAATATACTTATTTGTATTAGGCTGCAGTCAAGTAACTAAACAAATATATTCTCGGGTTCAACTACTGTACCTAATACTGCTCCTATCCAAAACTCAAACGAAAGCTAACATCACAAATAACCACCCATTGCAACACATCGGTCTATATCATGTAATCTTATGATGGCTTTTAAAGGTCCATTTCCTATCCTGCGACTGTTACGACTCTAGCCACGCGGCTCTAGCCGCGCGTCTAGAGCCGTGCGGCTGGAGACGCAGGTCTCATGCCGCGACTCCTACGACTCCCACGATTAGTGACTAGTGAAATTGCACCACTGACCATCATGGAATAAGCACAGTTGGCAGCGAATATATTACTTGGAGAAAAGGAGGTTAAGGATTTATTAATGTGCATGGCAAAAAAACAATGAACAACCATTGTTCATGGTACGGTGAAAATAGGGGGGTTCAGAGTATTCTTATTCAGAGACATCTTCTTCAAGTATTGGGGGTGAACGTATGGTTGGTGACGAACCAGTTCCATCAACTTTGAATCATATATGAAGGTACACACCTCAAACTCCGTATGTATAATCTATAAATTCGTTACAGCCGCGCGGCTCCAGTCGCTTCAGTCGCGCGGCTGTAGACGCTCGATAGGAAACGGTTGCATTTACTTTGCATTAAAGCAGTAAATTTCTTCAGCCGCAACAGTCGCAAGATATGAAATGGACCTTAAAGCACTGTACACGGGCGAACCTAGTTTCCAGATAGAGTTAAGGTAATAAGGACGAATAAAATCAGGGTAATAGCACTGTATTATTTAGTATACCAACATAACAAGAGAAAAATCATTTAATGGAAGATCATTACTCATCAGGTTACTAAATGCCAATCAGGCTTATTGCCCTCTTTCTGGTTTAATTTTTACTCCGTCAAAATTCTCAGTTTTTTCTACATTTAGATCGTAAATATGATGTAACCCATGTTGTCAGTGTTCTACAGCCTACAAACTGTCCAGACAAGGTGAGGACGAGCAGAGGTGGAGCTGCAGAGGTTACTGATCGGAAGTGCCGTGGCGTGTCGCCAATTGCTTATTCTAAATCAGTACTTCTCCTCTAAATCATCGCCTTAGACAGCGGAACTGGTTGGAATACACTCGACGATCCACGAAACGGCGAGCTCTGCTGGTGGAATTTTAAACATGTTGCGGATATGTGGGATTTTCTGGTATCAACTTTGTTTCTTGTGCAACTCGTTTGTAATAGTTTAAAGTAGTGTCTGACAATGTGTTTAAGATATGGATGGCAGTTGATGGAACAATTGCTGTATTCTTTTTGTTGTAAAATTATTATTTTCCCAGTGAGTTTTAGTCGCCTTTATCGACATTCAGTTGGCATTTGAAATGAAATTGCTGTGAGGATCTTCTACAATTATACAATTATTATACTTTGCACATAACCTAATCACACTAATAAAGTTTATCAGCAAAATTAAAAGGGTATACTGTTATAACAATTTTATGACGAGATTAACTTCAAAATTAAGTTATGAGAACCAACAAATAAAACATAGCTACGGAGTTTAAAGGTATGCAGGCAATACCTCACTAGGAATCTCACCTGTCTATTCATTTTGAAGTGACAACGACAAATTATCTATCAGTGGTTGCACGAAACATTCTCTATACCTTCACAACACAATGTTGTAGTGACATTATTCAACAACATTCTTTGCTGTAGGTGATATGTTGACATGTTTGACTGACGAGTGTATGTTTGTTTGTTCCAGTATGGTCAGAGGTGGCCCCCGGTATACAAGGGGCAGACTACGACAACAGTGTGGCCTACGCCGACTATACGGACGAGGCCGACACCTATAATGGGTAAGTTTAAGCACAGAATAAAGAGACAGAGACTGTTCGTTCAGTGGCTTAAGGTATGAGAACTGGTAATTCCATACATGTTTCAAATATGTACACCTCTTCTTTCACGTCGGTTTCCACAATGTCCCGAACAATAAAAAATTGCGTGACAATGATTCGTCCAAAATGCATACGTTGTACTTTTGTTAAATGTTCAATACAAGTCCCTAAATGCATGTGGATTTAAATAACAAGGCTAATGCATGATGTGTTCGATTTATATAAGATAATAGATACTATTATAGCGCATGCTTAATAGGACAGACTATATCTTCTACAGTTCTATATTAACTTACCTGTTTTATCTATACTGAGGCCAGCTAACCCATTACGTTACTGTCCATTATGTTGAAGACACCTAAAAGTTGAAAATCCACTTGAAATACCCGGATCGTGTACTAAACACATGTTAATGTGAATGTAAAACTATTATGTGATAGAGAACTAACATTTTTAATACATTTAAGTTCGGTTTTTAGTGTGGAATAACCGAAAAACATTAAAATTCGCTTTACAAACAATATAAAATGTGTCATTGGTAAACAAAATAAAATATTTAGTTACAGTAGGAACTACTCCACGGACAAGCTGACTACGGAGGTTGTGTGAAATTAGTCTTAGCTAGGTTAAGACAAATTTCACATGTTTATTTGAGCTTTTTTCCAAATTTATACTAAAATCCAAATGAGTCAATATCAAGATTTTTATTAATTAGAGCAGTATGAGGGAAATGCATAATAAATCAATTGCGAGCTGTAATTGAAAAATAATCCGTTTTATAAACGAAATCGAACTCATTTTTAATTTACAATAGCAGAATTCCGACGATTGATACATCCTTTTACCACCAAATCCCTTCCTACACCAAAGTAGATAAACTCTCTTTGTTTTCGTACGAGATTTCAATATAAATGGCCTCAAACCAGCTGGTCATTGATAACATTACATATCGTTATTATCGAGAGTCCGCAGCTCCACAAGTTATCGTTCGGCCACTGAGCCAGTGTTTATTGGATACAATAACACAATGGAAAAGCCGCTTTATCTACAAGCTACACTCAATACTTTTTCATGAACGGCTTTTAAATGGCTTAAAAGTCGATGGATGATTATTGTAAATTAAGTGAAAATTTATAGAAGCAAACATCCCGTTTGCATATTTTAGTAGGCAGTTTTAGAACTATAGTGTAGGCCTATCCATGTAGTTAAATTAATTGAGCCTCCAAAATAGTTTACTGATGTCAATAATTACTCCATTCGGTTAAATACGCAAAATTTCTAATTAATCCAAATTGAGAGCTAACATCAAATATCGAAGGACCAACAAATGAAATATAGGAATTTTTATACCATCGCATTTCGTGAGTAGCTTATTAAAATATATTCTATATTTAATACAAAAAGGCAATATTGTTATATTTAAACAATAACTAAATTGAAATTTTACCTTCGTCAGCCAGCTCCTGATTTGTTACAACTTGTACAAGTAGTAACAAATCAGGAGCTGGCTGACGAAGGTAAAATTTCAATTTAGTTATAGAACTAGGGGCTAGAAAATATGAATTATAATTAAACAAAGTTGACTACTTCTGGTATATGTATAATCACGTATGTAATGATCACGGACGGTATGGTTATCTTGAGTGTGGGGGGTTCTTCCCGGAACCTCAATTGAGTTAAGGGTGTCGCCACCTTTGGTGGATAGGTTCATCCGGGTGGGTCCCACTTCTATACCCGACTCCTTTTGGGAAACATTGATGGCCTGGCAGTGATGTTGGGTCTGACGGGCAAACGAAGTAGATCGGGTGCTGGGTCCGAGCCCGCCAGGGGTATCTGGGGATCTATCGCTCTGGATATCTCTGGTTTCCCAGCAACTGGGTAAGGCCTCGATCGGGTAGTGGTGTAAATGGGAGGTTGGGGTTCCCCCGTCAGCTCGCTGACGGTCCCCTTCCTCCTGGCTATGATGGCGGGTCTTGCCTGTCAGGGATTAGATAGGTTCCGAGTGTCACTTGCACTAAATGCGTCGGGGCGCTCCAGTATGGTCCTCCAGGGTGCCGTACGTGGTGGAACCCAACTGGAGTGACGCTTAAACAAGTAGCCGGAATCCCTGGTTAGGATTGAGGGGCAACCCTCTTTCCGAAGGGTCTGCTTCGGCAGCCGGTGAGCTTGATGACCTTAAGTCATCCGCCCATGATGTGCTAAAGGTTGATGCGTAAGCTTCGGCCTACATCATGGGGCCCGGGTATGTCACACGATAGGTACCGGGTATGTAGTCAGGGGGCTTCGGCTCTAATGACAAAGAAATGTAATGTAATGTAATGTAATATGTATAATCACAGACAACAGACCATTCTATAGTTTGTGGTAGGCCTACAGTATATTGGTCTACCCTGGAATAAAAAAATGAAATAAAATTAGGCTACAAAGATATCGGTGAAGTATTTATTTAACAATTTTTTATAACTAATATTACGAGATTCTCATAAAGTATAATTAGTTTGTTCCTTATTGCTGTATTTTTTTATCTATAGTGATAACACGTTGCACGATTAAGCCTCAGTATGGCAGATAACAGTGTTTTTACAAAACAATAACGGACCTGAGCAGAAAATGTCAATTGAGAAATAATGACCGTCTTTGTCTCGTGTAGGGACAGAAAGGTCAGTGTATAAACTGCACGACAAGTCAGGCACATAGTTACAAAGTAAGCAACCCCCAGTCTACAAAACGTTCAGTAGACTATGGAGAATATAATAATAATAATAATGCCTTTATTTAAAGCGGTCTTTAAATTGGCCTTAAATTAATTACATGACAGACTTTTCATATTTCTTGGGAGGGTATTGTATGCCTGGGGTCCAAAGTATGAGAACCCCTTTTTACCTATCTCACGCCGCACTCTCAGCATTTCAAGCAAGCCGTCCTGCCTAGTAACATACTAGTATGTTTTCTGTGCTAGTACAGCGTTCCTGATACGAGCGTTACTGATGTTCGAGGCATAAGTTTCCTTTTCAAATTGGGAGGCAAATTAGAAGACAGTGTCTTGTGAACAATAAAAACCGTTTGTAGAAAACATTGTTTTTCCAAAGAGAGTACCTTAGCCTGTGTGCGATAGGCAGATATATGATTAAAATTCCTCAGATTGAAGAAAAATCTTAGGGCTCGGTTTTGCAACCTCTTAAGAAGAACTCTACAGTTCTTAGAGAGAGAGTACACAAGAAGAGTTAGTACACAGTACCATTACTATACTATTAGAAAAATAATTAACTACATTAAGAAGTTCCTAATACCCTTTTACTTGTTTCTAAACTTACTATTTTTAAAATATGAATAATGCTTGGTATAGCCTAGTCTGGGAATTTGAAACTTTCGTGGGATTTGATGCATTTTTAATATAAAAACAAGATTAGAATCGAAACAACGAAATATTCAGCAGTGACAGTTTCAAACCCAACAACCTCCAATTTAACCATCAGCTGAGCATCATGGGACATACATTGGCCAACAATGTAATGAGACTGGTTGAATTGGATATTGCTGGTTTTAAACTGAAACACCACTGCATATTGCACTATATTCAACTTCAAGGTAAAAACTCTTGGGAAATTATATGGTTTTAATGTGTTTTTCACATATTTAAGGAAAGAGTTCATTGCCATAATATACAAAAAATCTAAACTTTCACATTGACAACAATTAATTGTTTGGTCCTCAGTTAACTTTAAGTTCTTCAATCATTAACCTAGTCTCGATAACATTTGATTCAAGCTTGTAAAACATTCCAAACATTTTCCTACTTATTATTGTTATCAAATAATATTTGTGTATCCAAACTCGTGTTTAAAGACTTGCGTAGAATATGAAATAGATCTTGACTTATTTAGTAATGTTCGTGCATTAGACGACAAGTGTTTCAGCAGTGCATTTCCTCGTTAATCGGGAGTTTAAGTAGCTTACGTTTAAATGTTTCAATTAGATCTAATAATAATATCCAATCTATGTTACAGTAATTCAGCCAGGTTATAAAACAGTTTCCATTTTTCAGGAACGACACACTGGAAGAGGTGACGACGTCGGCCACCAACAAAACAGGTACATGAATCATCTATTTCTCGTAGTGAGTTTAACACACTATTTCTGTGGCGCCATAATCAAAACTCGTTGCATAGGATTAGTATTTCACCTATGTAAAGCTCGTTTACATGTGCAACTATAAGGCATGGTCAGCCCATGTGATAATTTTTCTATTAATATATTGTAATGCTGATATTACTTGTAACAATAAAGATTAATAATTTATGATGATGGTCCTTTAATGGCCAGTTTCAATGTCATATTACTATCAAAGACTAATAAAAATGTTGTCTATTTAAATGCGTATGTATTAAAATATGATATATTGTTCACAGAATGTAGTCAAGTTATTTATTATATTATTCGTTTTTGGTCAAATTCTGTGTTTTGCCCTACCTCCATAGAATACAAGTTAGGTCGGGTTAGGTAAGACTTGTCATTCCACTTTCACAAAAAAAAATCCTTTATTTCCTATTTAAATTAAATAGGTATATTAAATTATACAACTGACTTCGCCTGACTTAACCTAACTTGCAAGAAAATAGTTGGGACAGCTGCCGGATGTTGACAGCACTTTCTCCTAACCTAAGAAATCTAACAGCTGATAGTCAGCTGATATTACACTCAGTAAAACTCCCTTTGTACAGACACCGGGGCGGTCGGTACAACCAGCTGTGGTGCAGACTGAGGTATTGTCTTGAGTCCTTTGTCCCAGCTGTTTCCGCCTGCTAATGAGCTAAACAAAAGTTGACCGCGGAAATCGTCCTTTTCCCGATTTGGATAGCATTACGGCATTTTATGGTCTACCAAGGATTAAAAACGTGCGCTCGAAACGCAGTTTATTACCACAAAAGCAAACCGCGATTTAATAGGACTAAACTGTAACTGCCTCCTAGATAAACTTCATCAATTTATCCAAGGTTATTTTATAATATAATATAATTAGTATAATATGAGAGTGGGCCTGGGAGGATATGTACAACAGTTTTATACTGATTTCAAATCATCGTAGAAGAAATTTAGATAATGCATATCTAATTCTCTAAATTTATACAATCATTGATGATTACGTGGTAACAATATGATCTATAAGACAATTATTAGGTGCTTTATGTTACTCAACTTCACTTCGTGTGTATAATTTTCGTAGTTTTAAGCAGTTTTCCATATGATTTTATGGAGTTTATGGCTTTTCTTGTCTAGTAATTTACTAAATATAGTCAAATTATTCATATAACATCACACGAGTGGTCATAAACTTATCTTAGAATAGGAAACACAATTACTCTAATTTATATCTATCAGTGATGAGGTAGAGATGTTCGTTGAACAGGCATTGGCTATAACTATGTATACATGCATAAAATACTTTAATCAAAGTGTAAATTTTAACCAACGACATCGGCATGTGAAAATTAATCTAACATAATATGTGGCAGGGTGGCTGCGGTGGTCCAGAGTCCTGGGGAACGTTACCAAGACTGCAGGGGAGGCAGTCAAACTGCGGTGTGAGGTCTTTGGGGATCCGCCACCCTCGAAGTTGCAGTGGTACAAGAACGAGGCTCCTCTAGAGCCGACAAAGGTACGTCAATAATTAATTAACCCACATATTTTTTCAATCAATGTTATAGATGATTTCAACATTAAACCAATTGTTTTCTTCCCTCATGTTTTTTGCAATAAGGTTTATTATCAAATTATTGAGATGGGGACGACACCTAGGTACACACTGCACATGTGAACACAATGGAAACAAACGTTACACAGCTAGCCGCATGAAGCTTCAAAGTTTTATGATGCCATGTTAAGCAGAGCTGAATTTGGTTTTTATGCTTGTTTTTTTTTTCAAAATTATTAACAGATAGTAGGTACCACTCAATGTATCATATTAATTGTGTGTTATAAAACATTACCGTTTTTTTTGTAAGTCCGCAAAGTGAATATTAATTGTTAGGCGAGTTAAAATATAAGACTTTTTACATGAGATGCTATAGGCCTATATTCTCAAAACTCACTCAATGAATAAGCAAATACCACAAGTTTAGTATTACTGTCTCTCTGTAATATACTACTGTATTCTTCTGTCATTTTAGGGCCGCGTGACCATTCGGCCATACACACCTGCCAAGTATGGTAACACAGCTTTGGGGTCCAGGTTGAGGATATCCCCTCTAGAAGTACATGACACAGGGTTCTACACATGTGAGGCCACCAATTCTGATGTCAGAGTTGACACAACAGGCATCCTAAAAGTTTCGATGAACCAGTGGGGTAAGTTTTGTACTAAAATAGTGCAGGCTATTAATTATACATTTTAAATACACAATATATTTATTACGTTATTACTTTCTTCCTGCTAATGTTCTCAAATGTAATGGAATTAATCTAAATAATTTATACATATTTTTAATAGGTCAAGATCATGCTGCGCCTCCCCTGGGGTCTTCTGTTCCTCACTTTATTGACAGGTATGTTAAACTTATATTCAATATAAAGTTTCGCCATACATTAAAAGTAAATTATACGTACTGTGTTGATTAGTCTATGAAAACATAGTCAATAGTTTTCATCACTGACTTATTACTTTCTGAATTCCAATCGTACCGTCTGTTTTTTTTTACACAGGAACATTATCTTTACAAAACTGGCTCTTTGAATAATGATCACGCAGATAGAATAAGAGAAAATCTAATTATTAAGAAGAAGTCATTCTGTACAGTATGGTTGTTAAGCTCAACATACTCGATGCCTCGAGCCTTAACGTTTACAGTTGGCAGCATTGAACGTCAAAATACCGACTGTGGCTCTTGCCACTGAGCTAAAATTATAACTGGAGGTAGCACTGCCATGGCAGAAGTCTGTCAAAAGCGAGTCGCTGATTTTGTTAGGTTGGTATAGCAGTAAGTTTTCTTACCATAGCAATAACATGGCTTCTTATAACTAGGTTGGTATAGCAGTGAGTATTTTTGTCATACTTGAATACTTTTAATACTTTAAAAATTTTCTTTGAAATGGCGACCATACAAAGTAGATATTTTAAGCCAAGTATAATAATAGCCATAGCAATAATATGGCTTCTTATAACTCACACCTCACGCAAACATGGCGGCTGGCGACACGCATCTTTGACATTCAGTGCTACCTCCAGTTAGAATTATAGCTCAGTGGCTCTTGCGAATGCGCTGTCTGCCACCCCCTCCTCTTCACAAATTTCTGATTATTGTTTAGCTTTAACTCCATTGGTGCTGTTTTGGGGTGCTGCTGTATCAGAGTTTCATCAATCATAGGTTGTGAAAACATTGATTGTGGAGTGTTGTATATGTGGAGAATTTGAAAATATTCAGTATTGTCGTCCACAGCAAGTTTCATAGGTTGCAATGGTGGCTAGGAATGGGATGGAAGTGGTACTCTCACGTCTAATTTTGGTGATAATATTTAGCTTTATTCTAGGCGTGTCCTCTCAAATTAATGACACTGAATATGAAAACTCTACGTATTCACCTCTTACCACTAGGTACTGTATTCCCATTCAGTTTAATTTACATTAAGATACACTAAATTTATTGATAATTAATTTGAAGGGCCTTAATAATTATTCATCCTAGGGTTTGTTTACAAATACTGTTGGGGCCAATTTTTAATTTCAACACCAATTGAGTATTAGCCTGCCGTGGTTTAAAAGCCTAGGCTATTACAAATTTGTTTTCCTTTAAGCTCAAAAATAGGTCTAACTTACGGTAACACGTTCGCTGTTAGGACGTTCCGGAACGTCAGCCGGGCCACGGCGCTAGGATCTAGGAACGTTCCGGAACGTCACCGTTCATTGTTGTTTTACGTTTCCATGGATAAGCCAGCTCGTCACAGACGTCCTATATTTTGTTGCAGCTGGTGGGGACGTAACTTAGGCCTACTCTTCTGACAAAATCACCACCAGGGTTGTTTGGAACAGAGCTTTGACCCACCTCTTTCCTGCTAGATAGCGACCAGGGCTACAGATATACATCCGGTATGTATATCTCTAGCCCTGGATAACGACACTACTTTACCGACTGCAACCTGGGTAGTGCTGCTATCTATCAGAATCACTTAGTACTAGCCTATAGTACTTCCAAAGCCAGTTTTATTGCAGAACATTGCCATCCAGTATAACTACTGTTGTTTTTACTGTAATTCAGCGTATCGGCGGTAATGTTACGCAGCAGCGCGCGTAACAAACTCCTGGGGCGTTTAGCTCCTGGCGCCGTCCCGGCATCTAGCGGTTAGCAGCGAACATGTTAACTTATGTGTAAGTTAGGTAGGCCCTACCTAAAAATTTGCGGGTACAGTTCCGCAGAGAACCTGCGATAGGTTATTTTATTGAATAAAATAAATATCAATAAACTTAAGACGCCTATCGAGAAACCTAAGTTATGTGATATCATGTAACCATGGGAACCTGCAGGGCCTAGTAACTTACTCTATGGCCTAACAGCAGAAACTAACTTAAATAGATTTTTACCTGAAAACAGTGCTTCCAAAATCTTTTTGCTGGGACAAAACCTAAATAAGTTAAGTTATTGTTCAGCCAAAGTTTCTGTGCCCGCGACCAGATCTGGTTGAGTCTAGGGGGTTGGGGGAGGGGGGGGGGGGGGTACTTTTGTAAAAACATTTGTGTCTTGCTCAGTAGGCCTACTCAATCGAACCCCTACCCCCAGCACGGCCAATAGCTGGTACCTGTACGTTTAGTTCGGCTAGTAGCGACCCGTCCATGCGCACAGAAGATTTTGCCAAACTATATAGCCTAAATTGTTATTGTTTGAATTTTAATGGCCTATTTTGTTGTAATTCTTGTCTGCTGGTCTCCATCACCTTTACTGTTAGATTGACGGAGGAAGAGAAGAAAATCCTAATTAAGTTAGGACAGTATTTAAACTCAGTTAAGGACATTTATAAGTGCCACTGAGCATTGATTACCGGTAGGCCTTTTGTAACTAAATCAGTTCCTATTCATACATCTGAGGAAGGTAGGCCTTGGTTGGGCTTTAGGCTTAGGTAGGCTATGCAGATTTGTGACTGTAAGCTATTAAACTTAAGTGTTTTGAAGTTAGGTTAGATTAGGGGTACCTAAAGTTTAACTTAGGATGAATTTGCATAAAGAATGCGTCTAAAGAACGACCTACCATCCTCACGTGCCTAAATATGGCAAACCTACAAACCCTATACAAGATGCCTATACAAGATAGTTTAACTTGATCGTCAGTTGGAAAATGCCATGTTCCAAACAAAAAGTTATTACCCAATCAACACTCCATGCACCAATTTCTAAAAGACAATTCTCGCACATTTCACAAAAATTAGCATGGTTCATCTAAGGTGACCATTTCACTCATAACAAAAGTAGATTTTGTTCAAAGGTGTTTATTGCGGACATTTCCATCAAGATGGTAAAAAAACAATAGGCCTACACAACGTTTCGGGATCTGGAATCTGATCCCGTCCACTGGTGAAAAAAACTTAACTAACACACTGCAACTAACAACACACAAACACACAAACGCCCAACCTAAGTTGGAATACACTACCGTACGTATAGAGTAGCAGTCCAAAAATATGCACTGTATAACATTCAAGTCATGATACAATAACATGCAAATAATAACCAATCACAAACACTAAAGTCTATAAAAGGTGTTGGGTATAGGCTACAGCTCACACAATGGAACACTAATCACACAGCTCGCAATGACTCCACCAATGAGACTGAAGCATCATGGCCGACCAATCCAAAACACACTGACAACCGGAAATGGCGTCCGGTCCCTGTTAAAGTAAAACCAAAAAAATGGCGGAGCTCCCCCATTTTGTTGATGGTCAATGGTGGAGTTAAAAATCGTTCTCATTTAAAATTAAACTGGTAGGCCTAACTTGATCAATTAACTTTTTCAATCTAAATTTTTGTCTAGGCCTATATTTTCAATAATTTTACTTTGGCTTACAGCATGAGTCCAGACGAAGGTCTAGGCTTACCGCCTGTGGGTGGCTTGAATGCCCCTGTGGACACAGGAGGTCTCGGTGCTGTCTTGTCTCCTCCTGTGTTCAGCGATCCTACCAAAATGGAACCCAAACAACCTGGTCTTGAAGCAGAACCTACATGTCAGGTAGGTTTTATTCATGCTCTAATATTTATTGTATTTAATGTGGCATTGACTTTGGTCTGAAATTTCAAGATCTGTTCAAGGCTCATCATTTAGGCCTACTCTCTCATAATTTTCAGTATTATATCACGATAGAATGTCATATTCATATTATTGAAACGGGTGATGCTATGTATTCCCGATCACAGTGGAATGGAAAGATATTGCCGTCATCACAGGAGGCCATGAGGATGTTTATCACTATGGAGGGGAATTTTGACCTATTACCACGATTACGGGAGGCAATAATGGTCTTTTCGACCATGGTAGTATGTCAAGATATTGCTGCGATCACAGGATACAATGATGATGATATCTTGGAAGTGGGAGATAAGAACCTCTGGGAACATGTAGGCTACTAAAACAACTACCCTAAGTAAATCTTAAAACAAAATTAGGTTTCGTTAATTAGTGCAAGAAATGTCTTTAAGTTACAATACTAAAAGATTCCAACTGTTTAAAAATTGTTTTTGAAACCTTTTCAGTTAGACCTAAACTAATATTCTTTGGCAAATAAGTCTTTAAACAATTTTTGGGAAAGTTTAACCTTGCTCCTGCTAGCCTTATAAAATATTTAGTATAGGCCTATATTGTCTAGTTCAATTCAGACCAGATCTCCCTTATCATGACTAGTCCATTGGTAAGTGAAATGTCATCACTTGGCCCATCACAATCATCGTTTTAACAAATATCTTTCGGCTACACCAATGGTTCTAAATGGTGTAAAACTTATTCTGTTGCAGAATAACTCCCTGACAACTACCACTTTTACATTTAATGTTGTTGACAGTTTGACAATTGTCTACAGTACAGCTGTTGGTGTAATCAGTCTTTGAAACGTATTAGAACTGGTTTAATAGGCTCCATTGTAAACCCTACTTTGTGTACTGTGATAACCTCGGTCAACCCAAAACTATAATTGGTTTACCTAGAATCTGATGTACAGTACCTATGTTTCCAATCAACCAATTTCTTAATTTCATCATATTTTTCTTGCAGCCTTACCGTGGGCAGAGATGCATTGATTTGATTGGCAACAAGTCTGTTTACATACCTGCAGGCGTTTCACAAAAGGTCATTGAATTCAAGCTTAATCAGGCTTTTTCAGTCGTCTCCCAGTCAAAGTAAGTACTTATTAGTTAATAATACTTGATTAATGTATTTTCTTTTAATTTCAGAATAGTTAACTTTTATCCATGTTTTTAAATATTGTGACTGGATTGACATAAAAAAATTGCTATCAGAACACATAACGGAGTTCACTTTTGTGTACGGTACCTGGTCCTGTTCTTGCATACAAGGGAAGGGAAATATTTAAAAGGAGCAAACTAGTTCAAAATACATTTTATTTCTTGATGCTTTTTCCAAGTAGACTTATTTAAGCTGTCCGGAAGTTTTAATGTTTCTTTAAAAAAATAGAAAAAAAATATCCTAACATCTAGAATTGAATAAACTGTTTGTAATTTGACACCTCAAAGGGTTCCAAATTGATACCTAATCTTCCGAGTAATCAAGTTTTTAGTTTATTAGAAAAAGAAGAATTGTTTGAAGGGTACATTGCCGCAGAGCACCTGTGATATGTTGTGTAAAGAAATATTAGTCTGATGTATGTACCGTATCGGATATAGTTTTCAGACGATGTTAATTATTGATTTATGTAAAGTATGAATTAGTTTTTTTTATTATTGGTTAAAACATCTGGCAACAATATAAATTCAAACCATTTGTATTTAGTCAGAAAAAATCTAGTTTCATAGATTAGGCCTATATAAGAGCTACCAAATAAAATGTTGGTTTGGATGTTTATGATGTTTGTTTGGTAGCACTGTTAGTAAACACCATGTGTTGTCCCTGCCAGGGATCTGTCCCAGAGTTGTGAGAAGTACGCTCTGCCGTCTCTCTGCTACACAGCTTTCCCCATATGTAGGGACGACCACACCAGACCACCTAGACGCATCTGTCGTGAGGTAAAAAATACTTCCTTAAAATCTTATAAACATTTTTATTTGTTCTTATTGGGTCTTGTTAAGCCTAGTTAATTGTAAAATCTAGTAGCCTATTTAGAGGGATTTTGTCGCTACTAAAAAATGCAACTCCCGTTCTACTGAGATATAAATAAATGTGTGTGTTAACTAAATGTTTTTTAATTTGTTAGGTTAACTACTAGAAAGGTTTGGTAGAATGTAGTATCTTTGCTTTCCAGTATTTATCTTTCCAATACCCCTGATAATGCTGAGAAAAGTATCTACAATCTCAGGTAGGAAAGAGCCTTTAAAGCTACTGTATTTGAAAAAAAACCCTGTCAATTAGGTATTTAAACTGTGTAGATTACAAGGCACTACTTAATTTTACCTGTTCGAGGGTCTAGCTGCTTGCATCCCTGAAAAACTCTGTGTGATTTGACCCATATTTACACACATGGAATATAGCCTATAGCCATAACATGACTTATACAGAAACTAGTTATTATGTACTGTCTGTATACTGTACTAAATCAGTTACTATACCTTTCATAAAATATACTCCTTCTGTGACCGATCTAAACCAATTCTCATTTCTTTTGTTACATCATTACACACTTTCCATCTCAACTGCGTTAAGTTAATATTTAATGAAATTTGTGTATTTTGTGATCCTGTCCTGAAGTAAAAAAAACTACAAAAACATAACAAGATTAGTAAATAATCACAGCCATAGCTAAAACACACATATCTCTTCCTAGAGGACTAGATCAGGTTCAAGATCCCAAAATACATAGTGAAAATCTGTTTTTACTAAATCATTAAGGAAACTGTTCTGAATAATCACTCAAATAACATAATTTTACCATAATTACTGTTGTTGTGAAGGATTGTGACCTGCTAGAGAATGAGCTGTGTCAGTTGGAGTACGCTCTGGCCAAGAAACACCCTCTGATTGGTCGTCAGATAGAGATGCCCGAATGTATGAACCTGCCAGACATCGGCTCTCCGGACAGTGTGGACTGCCTGCAACTTGGCATGCCTCAGCCAGAGCCTGTCAATCCCGGTGAGAAATTCACATTCTATCTCCTACATCTAAACCATGTTCTACCATTTATTAGAAACTGTACACATGTTATTGGCATTGAAATTTGTACACCACCGCTATCTTATAGTATACAAAGTATTTTACGCCACACTCAGTGGCGTAACAAATTTTTACGGGCCCCCCTGCAAACTTATTTTTGGGCCCCCCCACTCACGAGTTATTTTTAGACCACCAATACAACATAATCAAACGCCCTCCCCCTCCCACCAGAGTATTTTGTGGACCACCTATACAATGATCAAGCGGATTAATCATCAAATGAGTGGTAAATAAATTATGAAAAAAAATATTAAATTAAATAAATATTAAATTGTGAGATATGTTCGATAAAAGGGTATGTGTTAAGTATTTTCAGTCGTGGTTTGATGGAAGTGTTACATCACTACATCATTATATCAGTTTTAGTGTTTGTAAATAGTTTTGAAATCAAATAAAAACCCCTTATTTTCCATCCGTCTATCAGAATGTTTATATCAAGGAGGTTAAAAACTTTACATTTAATTTATCACACATGTTATCCATTTTTATTTCCCTGATAATTAGACTAATTCGTTAATTACAAGGCAAAATGTGGTTCGAATTCCCCTATTAACCACCTTAGGCCCCTTAGTTGCCTTTTGCTGTATTAGCTAATTAATTAACATCTGTGTCTAATGTCTAAGGAATATGTCGGCCTTAGTCCCTTTCAACACTAAAAGGTTGGGCTACTCATCTCCATTAATTCTTGGCTTAAAATACCTACATTGGTATGGTCGCCATTTCAAAGTAAATTATTAAAGTCAATCAATCAATTATTTAAGATGGGGACGCCAATATGTGCGTATTTAAACCCAAATATGACTGAAGGATGAGAAAGTATTAATTTATTAGGTTAGTGTAACTCTTTGGTTATAATTAACTCATACACTAAAAGCTGGTTAGTTTAATAGATTGACGTACAATAATCACAGGCTAAAATAGCCTATTGCATTTTTTATTTTATCTTTGTATGGATTTCAAGCGTCTTATTATGTTGTAAGCGTTTATCTTACAACTAATGTCTTTAGTAATGGTTAATTGTGGGGCTAACAAACACAGTCAGTAGAGTAGCAGTATATTGTATTTAACAAAACACAATCAATATTAGGACAAAGCTAAAATGTAAAATAATACAATATTAAATGCCCCAGCCAACGTTCATGACTCCAGGCTCCAAAGTAACAAAATGATTGCAGGCGACATAAGCAGTGTACGAAATCTCCGAGAAGTAAAATATTTCTCGGTGACGAAAGTAAGATTGCATAATAATCAAAGACCCACGTTATAACATGTTAAATTTGTTACCCTAGTTCGTTATCACTGAAGAGGCCTAACGAAATTAAACGATAACTGATAACAACATATTATTAATAACATCAATGTTATTACTTGTTCAATACAATTATTGAATGAATGAACTCCAATTTTTCGGCCCCACTCGTCTCACGGGCCTCTCCGCTCACCGTTTCCCGCTCACCGGTTCGCGGGCCCCCTCAGCTCCCAGGCCCCCCCGCATCGCGGGCCCTGCGGGCCCTTCTGTTACGCCACTGGCCACACTACATTATTTTGATGAACTTTCCACGCAAGGATTTAGTCCAGAAAACATCTGTTTGCCGCCAGCTTATTCAAATGGGGTTTCATTGCGTAATACTGTTCTGCAATGAGTTTTACCGGACACCAATCAGCTGATTATACTGTATTTTCGTGGCAATTAGTGGTTATAAACAAAAACATTACCTCTCTTAGAGGTTATGACTAGTGTTTATTAGTCCTTTAGTTGGTGGAAATATATAAGGATTTGTACGGATTTAGTAGTATGCCGTAAACTATCGTACGTAACTCGTCCAAAATGTGTGTACCGGACTCGTATGGTTATCCCGTACTCGACTTCGTCTCGCACGGGAACGACCACACTCGTCCGGTAAACACTTATTTTCAGGACTAGTAACGTAATATACTATACTGAATTGATTTCTCCCCCAGTTGAGCGTGATTACCTTCAGACGTCCTATCTTTGTGAAACGGCCCTTACAAAAGTTTATGCTTTAGCCATCTCTAACACAAACACATCTCTTTGCTTCAGACATGTTGTTCTTTATAAAATTAGTAATAATTGAATCCTAAAATTGTTGAAATAAAAAAAATTAATCATGCACTTTAGTACCTACATATGGAATATTTAAGAACACTAAAAACTAACAAGATCTCTTGACTAAAGATGTATTATTCTTGTACAGATGAGAAGTGCTACTGGGGCAAGGGGGAGGGTTACAGAGGTGACCTCGCAGTGGCTGCTAGTGGCCGACCCTGTATACAGTGGAGGAGGCAGATGTATGTCAAGACATCACAACACACGTCACTGCTGGGTGGCCACAGCTACTGCCGCAACCCTGGGGCTGTGGAGAACCAACCGTTCTGCTACACAGACAAGGGCACCACACCAGAGATCTGTGATATCCCTAGCTGCTGTGAGTACACACACAACACTCCTACCTTCAAATCGTAGGAGTCTAGGCTCTAGACTTTAACTTGGCATTTTCTGTTAGATATACAAATTCATTGGTGATTGGCAAGATTTTAACACCTCAGGGTCGAAAGTGCCACGCTCTACCATCAGACCATGCTGCTTCCATTCAGAAAATTCATTGCTTTGACTTATTGCCAGAACAATTTCAAGGATGATATTTAGCCAAAACAAAAAATCTTTTACATCTTAATCGATCTTTTGTAGTTATCTTTTCTATAGCTCTAGTCCTTCCGGTATTTCATTTTATTTATTTCCACCATTCAGTGGGGCTGTTTCTTTCCATGTTAAACAAAACATGTTCAAGCTAATGTAGGCTACAATTCCAGTGATTAATTTTCCATTGCCCTTCTTCCATACTTAGGTGGTCACCCGTAATAATATTTGTCCTAGTCACTTTTTTACTATAGGACCAGAACCTTTGTAGTTCAGTACTTGAATCTTTTGTTTAGTATATAAGTTTGGGATCAATAAATAACTGCATACTATTACATACTAATTTCTAACGCAAAGTCTTGCGCTCAAAGCGCAACTGATTGAGTACCTGAACAGGACGAAACTTCGCAAAACAGAACTAGCCCCAAAAGGGCTTTGGTCTGGGGACGAAGAACAAAGGTTCAAACGCTGAACTGCTCCATCACCCAAAAGTTGGTTGGGACTTTTACTTGTTTCGACCTAAACTTGGTCTTTTCAGATGCATAATGTAGTGCATGACAAGTGTTTAAAGACTTTTTGTCAGTACCTATGACATTTTGTCAAAGATTGACTTTTTCCAATGCAGTTTGAGGCAAATGACAGTTTGCAACAATGTAACATTTACACAAAATCGCTTTTTGTCAAAGACTCTTCACATTAAACGGATTTTGTTTATCATTAACGCAAAGTCTTGAGCTCAAAGCGCAATTGATGATTACCTGAACAGGACGAAACTTTGCAAAACAGAATTAGCAGCAAAAGGGCGTTGGTCTGGGGACGAAAAACGAAGGTTCAAACGCATCACCCAAAAGTTATTAATTTCTGTTATCTGAGAGTTTTTGATTCTCGTATGACTTCAACAAGTACTCTACCTTGCAGTAACTCCTTTGCCTTGTTCTTTTCTAATTTTGTGTTGCTGTACAGTTCCAGATTGGCAGATGACACTGTGCCTTGTGGCTGGTGGTATGTTGTTGCTACTGGTGCTGTTGTTGTTGTACTGTTGTTGCCGCAAGAGGAAACAACACATAGCTCGCAACAGGCTGGCCACCACACCTGGCATCAAGGTTAGAATAAAACTACAAACTGTACAATGGTTTTTGAAACTTCTAAGGATACACCTATCAGTGAAAACATTCAAAGATTACAAGTAGTGTTGAATATATTATCTATTGAATATTATTTGAATATTATCTATTGACCAATTCAATCATACAGTAATTTTAATAAAACAACAACAAATCTGGATATGCTAAAATTGGAGTTTTGAAAAAGGATGGTCATCTTTACCTGATAAGTCTATATTTCAGTGCAGTTGAGTAATCCAGTACTCTTGGGACTTTGACTGTGGCGAATTACTGAGCATTTATACAAATAGATATAACTAGCTGTGTACCCGTTCTACGCACGGGGATCTTATAATATTCAGTTGAAACCTTCTTATATAACGAACAGCAGTTGGTTTGCATATTTTAAGATATGCTGGCCAAACTATTATACATAGCTTCATTTTATGTTGTTTTTTGTTGTTCCGGATCGGTATGACAATCAATAAAAGGTTAAATTACCTCTGTGTCTGCCGGTCGATCCTATAACGGTAGGCTTACTTTTATTTTTACTATCTGATCTCGTTTGCATGGCTCAATCACGTCCTGGTTGAAGTTCGTTCGCTACGCTCACTCACCTGTATGTTGGAGCTCGTTCGCTGCGCTCACTTTCCTTCAGGTTAGCTCGTTCGCTACGCTCACTTGCCTTCAGGTTAGCTCGTTCGCTACGCTCACTCGCCTCCAGGTTGCAAATTAGCTGTTGTCATAAATGTAAAAGAAATAATAGTGCTAGTGCTGCACCCTGTTGGTAATCCTTGTAACTTTAATGCTATTGAACATCACAGAACAGAACCAACTTGTTTAATTGAAACAGCTGTTAAGATTCAATAATTTCATTTCTCATAAGGTTAACATGGGCTTCCAGAAATTCCACGTCAAAAATCGACAAAAACTTGATTTTCAAGGGTTTACTGTTAAATATCTAACTGTCTCATATTCGATGAAATACGTCTAAAACCATCTCATATATGTATAGTATTTGGAAAATAAGTTTCAGGCGGGACAGTGCTATAGTTATTGAGGAGTAGTTGTAATAAAGTGCGTATTTTAGCGTTACCAAGAGAATGACAGATAGACAGACAGACAGACAGACAGACAGACAGAAATTGAGATAAGGTTTGATTCGGTTTCTCTGACCTATGAAATGTAAAAATAACCAAAAAGTTCATTATTCTAAGCAATGTACAGACAAAACTCTAATTTTATTTATATAGATTGTAAAAATATTGTTAATAATTATATAAAGTCAAAACTGCTACCTATATAATTTTACTGTCTTAGTATGCCTAACCTCATCTGATGGCATGTGAATTCTGCGTGTCAGTATGAAAGACTGTCTTTGCATAATACTGCAAAGTCTCTTAATTTTGTCTGGTTTGGTTTGGTTTAACAAACTTAGTGAAAACAGTTAGCTTGATAAAGTTGTTCTCAATTAGCTTAACTACATCCAATCACCAATCAACAAGTCTCCAACTGTAAAATTAGTTTTACATTTATGATTTTTAAAGTATTTAGAAATAGAATTTGTATGGCAACTGGCAACCATTTTTATTTCCTGGCATTAAGACCGATATTATTTAATCAAAATACAGTGAAACCTCAATAAGAAGACTCTTCATAACAGGAGTCGTTTTCAAATATCCATTGATTTCATTTAACATGATACTTGTTATGCTACATGATTCTTAATGTCATGTGTCTGTATTGTAAACCTCAATAAAAAGTCAACCTTGATAACATGTTTAGTCTTGTTTGACCATCCCAACGAGAAACTTGTTATCAAGGTTACACTGTTTAATTCAAGTAAAAAACTTATAAAGGATGTAACTGTATTTATGTGTTGTACTTAAATGAATAAAGTTATATGAAATTAAATTAAATGAACTGACATGACTTTAACTGTGTGCCTACTTTGTAGGCCATGAAGAGCTCCCCCAACAAGAAGGGTCTGGAGATGTCCGCTCTGATCCCTGGCTCCAACGCCAGCAGTCTCAAGAGTGAGGCTCGGCCTCGGGTCAGGGAGTTTCACCTCTCCAACGTACGCTTCCTACAGGAGCTGGGCGAGGGAGCCTTCGGTGAGACATATCATAATTATGAATCGAGCGCTTTTTAAGTCAATTCCGATACCAATACCCGACTTGTCTGTGAAGATCCGCTCAATCGGAAAATTACTGCTAATGCCTGTGATAGGGCAAGACAACGATGACATTTCTATAACCACAGGAGACGTTGATGATTTTTTGTGAGGGAAGGGTCTAAACCTCTGTTTTGTTGCCATGTCGTCAACCTTTTGTTAAATAGCTTAGCTTCAACCATTGAAAGTTTGATGTCTTCCTCGGGAATCTGAGACCAGAATCAATCCTGTGTGGAATAAAACCATTGATCTTTAGAGCTTAAGTCAGGTCGTAAAAACTTGGATAACCAGATGTTCTTTATTGTGTTACCCAGATTTCTTTATTGTGTTGGCCTATTAGAAATTGAACAATCAAGAAAAATGTGTCAAGTCATAGCCTACATTACAAAAATCTAGCACTCTGGATGAATATCAACCATGCCTTTAGCAATCAGCATCAAGAGAGTGTTTAGAAGACAATAATTTTTATATTAGAGGAGGATTCAGTCAAATAAATTGATTTTCTTATTCATTGTTATACTTCTGTACATTGATTTATATTGATAGATATTTAATTATAATTAAGTGACCGAACCTGTTCCACGCCCTGCGATGTTGATCACATTAATGTAAAGTATTTTGTTTTAATGTATTTTATCAACCAGTGTCTTGTGTTCAATTTTAAATGTTGAGATAAATCTTAGAACTAGAAGGTAATATTCCTGAAGATGTGGCAGTTGCCACAACATGTAGTTTGACCAGACATCCAAGGATATTGTTAAGTTAAGGAAATACAATTTTTAATGACTCATTGTTCACATTGTTTTAGGTAAGGTATACAAAGGAGAAATCATTAATGAAAACGGACCACTTCTCGTGGCTGTCAAGACTTTGAAGGAGAATGCAACTGCTAAAACTGCACAAGACTTCAGGAGAGAGGTAAATAAATGTGTTGTTTAAACATAGTAGGCTACTGTATACAGAAAGTAAAGTGTGTTGCGTTTTGGTCTCAAGTTGACACAAAACTCAATACACTTGATTGATGAAGACTTATTTTAATTAGGAAACTATTTTCACAACCTAAGAGTATAAGAGAACAGTTGTACAGGTAGGCCCTACAACAAAATACAATTTGAAATATAAACAATGGGAATATCTTGTGCGATTGCAGCTAAATCATAAACGTCTCCAGCTGTATGGGGGTGAAATCATGAACTTTAGTGATCACTTGGTGAAGTATAATTTCCCACCAAAGCCGATCACTTGGGTCAACTATTGGTCTCACCCAACAAGAAAATAGTGGGGATCAGTAGACCGCTAAAGTAGTTAGCCAATAATAATTTATTAGTTTCTATTCAACCTAATATTCAACTCAATCTTCAAGAGTATTAGGAAATTTGTATCCCAATTCAATTGTTGGAATTTAAATAATTTCAGTATTTGTGGGACAGGAATCCCTCAACATTAGTAAGATTGTGATATCGGGAGACCTCTAAAAAGTTTGGGGGAGTATAATTCCTGACAGCAATTTCTGGTAATGAGAGAAGGTACTGACAATCAGTATTGAATCATGTATGGTTCTTGATACCACCAGAATCTAAAACTTCGCAATATCGCAATTGGCCATCTCTAATAAAAAATATTAGGTTTTAGTTTGACCTAATTTTTTATGTGTTCAGTTTAAATGATTTATTTCAAAATATTTGTGCTTAATGTGTACAGGTTGACCTGATGTCAGAACTGAGACATCCCAACATTGTGTGTTTGCTGGGAGTGAGCCTGTCAGGAGAGCCTAGCTGCATGTTGTTTGAGTTCATGACCAGGGGAGATCTTCATGAGTTCCTGATGGCTCATTCTCCATGTCTATGTACAGGTTGACCTGATGTCAGAACTGAGACATCCCAACATTGTGTGTCTGCTGGGAGTGAGCCTGTCAGGAGAGCCTAGCTGCATTGAGTTCATGACAAGGGGAGACCTTCATGAGTTCCTGATGGCTCATTCTCCATGTCTATGTACAGGTTGACCTGATGTCAGAACTGAGACATCCCAACATTGTGTGTTTGCTGGGAGTGAGCCTGTCAGGAGAGCCTAGCTGCATGTTGTTTGAGTTCATGACCAGGGGAGATCTTCATGAGTTCCTGATGGCTCATTCTCCATGTCTATGTACAGGTTGACCTGATGTCAGAACTGAGACATCCCAACATTGTGTGTTTGCTGGGAGTGAGCCTGTCAGGAGAGCCTAGCTGCATGTTGTTCGAGTTCATGACCAGGGGAGATCTTCATGAGTTCCTGATGGGTCATTCTCCGAGATGTGACGTCAGCAACTGCAGTGATGAACCTCCTCTGGATCAGTCGGACTTCATGTACATCGCCATCCAGATTGCTGCAGGTGAGTGAACTATGATAAGCCCAAGGTACATGCTTGAAAGGTGAATTTTTTAGAGGTGTGCGGATATCCGAAAAATCGGGTCGGATTCGGTTCGGTTCGGATATCCGTATCCGAACCGAGCCCAAATTCGATATCTGACACTATCCGTTATATATCCGACTTTTTCGGATAGACAATATATTTTGACGTTTTGGACAGAAAACCTCCATAACCACCATTAGTTTCCCAGGACAAAATTACAGCAATACGTTTCCAACGACCTAACAGCAAACGGCAAAGAAGCCGTATGATGCAATACTGATAACTAGTTTAGTCGTTATCGGCTGTTTTGCTTTACGATTAGATTCGTCTGGAACGAACAGACATAAAGCAGAAAAGAACTACCATGGTCAAATGAAAGTCAACTCGTGCTTGTCTTGCTCCTGATACTAGGGGCGCTGCGTAATAGTTTTTTTAACAGTACTGTTTCAAAGTAGAAAAATCTAGCCTACTACTGTGATGTTAGTAAACAATAGATTAAATGTTTCCCGAAAAAAAGTCAGAATAGAAACAATAGAAAGGCAACACAATAGAAGGGTGGGAGGGGTTGGGCAATAACCTCGAAAGGAGCGCGGGTAGTGAGTCAAGTAGGACCGGAGGGGGAAGGGGTGGGTAAGACCTTGAAGCTATATATAGACTTGCACTACTTCCCTAAACCGAAAGGACTGGCCGGCGAGTGGTATTCCAATCACAGGACAAGATACGTTGTTTTTTGGGTATTCATTGCCCGGTTTGACTTTGGATTGTCTTACTGTGTAGAAACTTTGAATAATAAAAAATAAAGTTACAACTAACCACGATTATTTAGCATTTATTGTGTACATATTAAATGATTAAACGATAGGGACCATGGATATATACAAACTTTTGTCGTGATTTTAATTTTAACATCAAAATACAATATTGCACAATCGTGATATTTTAGGTCATTGACCTTTATTATGCATCCGGTATTGCTGTTTCAGAAGAGAAGCACGTTGATAAATTATAAATTGATATTCCAGTAGTTAAAAAGAATTATTTTATAAACCTATAAAACAAAATCATAAAATCTTACATTAAGATAACAAAAAATAACGGAAATTGTAAAAAGGGAATAAAGATAACAACGTCATTATTCTTTCTCTTTGTTCTTCTATTTCTTGGGTTTCCCTTATCACGCATTCAACATCGTTATCAGCTTTTATGACTTAGCGCACAGCAGGGGGTAAAACACTGAGTGCAGCCGAGCGGCACTAATGAGGGTCGACCTTCTTGGGGGTGAACAATAGACGGCTTATCAGACCCTCCCCTCCCCCGTGGTCTGGAGAAAGCTTGTAAACAAACTATTGCACAAGCGCGTGACTTGACATTGGGCTGCTTCAATTATAATTTTGTCAAATGAACTGTGATGTTTCAAAATCAAAAAACAATAATTTGGGACCATACTGCTTAACAATAATGGACTGCAATTATTGTTGAACATACAATCCATTTTTAACAAACTAAGATTATACGATTCAAATACAATTATAAAGATTATCTTGGTATTTTACTTGGGGTAATGAAGTTATGTCTAGGCTAGTGTAATTCTCGGTTCATCAAGGTTCTACTGAATTATGTTTGGCAGTGAATATGTGTAGAATGCAATTTATAAATTCAGGGATACACACCTTTTACACAGTTATAAAGTCTAATTGCCCAACATCAAATCGTGAGCTAGAGCCAATTTAGTGCATTAGTGATTCTACACTTGGCAAACCCACAAAATGCCACTTAAGCCCAATAATCCGTTCCAAAAACGTAAGGAAATACAATGTGAAAATAAACTTGAGATCGAACTCCTTGGCTTGTGAGAACCAGGAAACAAGATAAATCATAACCTCAAGTAAACAAGCCCAAACTTTTGACACCAGTCCTGCTGAGCTAAGGTGTTTGTGAAGATTTCGGCTGCTAGTGTACTTAATTCAAGCAACCAACTTTTGAAAATAAATGTTGTGAATTGTGATTTTCAAGAGAGAGAAAACTGTGGACTTGGCTAATTTGAAATTCTATAGTTCAAAATCGTCATTTAAGTTTATTTACACAGCTTTACATTGTTTTGTAGGTTAAAAATACATATGCAGCTTATTATTAACCGCGCCGAACTATCCGAATCCGAAAATATCCGAATCCGAACCTCCCAATATCCGATCCGATCCGAACCGAGCCTCAACTACCCGATCCGAATCCGATCCGAAATGAAATTTCACTATCCGCACACCTCTAGAATTTTTAATTGAGGATTCCTATGCAAATTGTATAGATCATTTTGGGTTGACTGGATAAAAACTCTCCTTACATTTAAGAGCATATCATGAATTAAGGTCGTCAACGAGCTCATATCGTCATTAAGAAAGTTAAACGCTAACACCAGTGGCCCTCATCAATTCATCAACTAGTATTCAACCTGTGTAACAATTAGTCTCTTTATACTAGCTAAGTGGCAGAGATGGATGCAAAGGAAACTGATTCTCTCGCCAAGTAGCCTATGAATTGCATTCTGTTAGTTGTTTTATGTTTTATGAGGAAGACTCAACCCGTATTAAAATTGGTTGTCAATTCAAAAATGTATAATGAAGGGTTTACAGTAGGCTTTAAAAAAATGAGCAAAAGTAGCTGAAAAACCTCATGTTTATTCACTACCTGAAACGAGACTGACTGTGCAAACTGCAAACCATAATCAAAATTGTGTAACTGTTTACAACCTCCTCCAATCTCCCTCAAACCCTGACGCACATTTTCCATGCCTAAACCGATAACTCCCTTCACAACCGTAAATTGCAAGTTTTTTATCTAATATTTGTCGTCTTGTCCAGGAATGGAGTACCTGTGCAGTCACCACTATGTACATAGAGATCTAGCTGCCCGTAACTGTTTGGTTGGGGAGAATCTAGTCGTTAAGATCTCTGATTTCGGACTGTCAAGAGATGTTTACTCTTCAGACTACTATAGGCAAGTGACAATAATGCTACTACACTTGCAAAATAAATTAAATTCTAGGATAAAATATTAAGATGTCTGAAATAAAACTTCATAAAATTTACTTTTACATGAGCTGAAATTAATAGTTTAATCTATAAAAATACTGTCGTAGAAGCTATTTGAAAAAAAAGAACCGTACAATCAATGTTAAACACTATTTTTACTGATTAGTTTACATTTATTCAGGATAATTAATTAAATCCATAGCTTTTAATAGGCCTACTCTTAACAACAAGTTCTAATTTTTTTTCAGATTCATTGTGAATTGTTAGCATAATTTTTACCTAGAAAATAAATGAAAATGAAAACATTTAGGTTTACCTTAAATAGTTTAAATCTAAAAAAAAATTTAAATTTCTACTTAATATCTGACGACTGTGAAAAGCGTTGACCTTCCTCTTATTGGCAATATGTAATAAATGAATGCACTACTGGACAAAACTTACTTTTTTGTTTTTGATTGTTTAAGTGAAGAAAATAACAGAAAGTCAATTGGAATGTGAATATTTCAGGGTTCAATCTAAGTCACTATTGCCTGTGAGATGGATGCCTCCAGAGTCCATACTGTACGGCAAGTTCACCACTGAGTCCGACGTCTGGAGTTATGGTGTTGTCTTATGGGAGATATACAGTTACGGTCTTCAGGTAAATTGACACTTTAAACTGATAGAACTATGTAGAGACTAAAATTTAAATGGTTCACATGTTTCAATATTTGTCTTGGTATGTATCCTATTGATACAAGATATCCACATGATAAGATTTTGCGCTTTTAATTTTAACTTCTTTGGATACCTACTGAGGTTTATGAAGAGTTTTAAGGTTCACATACGCGTGAAGGAAGGAGAATTATCAGTCTCTCTTTGTGATATAATATACTGTCTTCAACCGTCAGATGATTATGGGTATGGAAATAGTGATTTAAATCATTGTGGTTTTGAAATAATTATTTCGTTTTAGATTTATTCATTGGATGTTTGATGAAATTTTCCCCACCAACCATATTGATAGAACCAGATAACTGTAGCTTTGATATACTTATTAGCTTTATCATACCAGTCAATATAGTATTTGGGTTGATTGTGTATAACTACTATACTCCGTTCACAAACGCAAAGTTTAGGTGGTTATCGGGGAAGAAATCTATCTCCTCCACTTGATCCTACCTTTAAAATAATAGCCTAGCTCAACAGCTGAAGTTTGCCAAAACGTCGTTCAGCTGCAACACATATATTAAGCAAACAGTAGTGGGGGGAACTTCCCCTCAAACCGCTTACATTTTTTTAACAGACTATAACCAACTTTATACAACTTTTTTAAATCAGCGTAGGATTAAATCTCGACCCCAAGACTTAAAGCTGATCCTGGTATTTTAGGATTTATCCTGTCATGAGACTAAATATTATTTTATAATTTTTTTCATTAGTGATCTTTGAATTTATACTGATTGTACTGATATCGTATTTATCACTAGCTACTTGTGCTTGTTGCAGCCGTACTATGGATACAGTAACCAGGAAGTGATAGACATGATCAGGTGTCGCCAGCTGCTGCCGTGTCCTGAGGACTGTCCGTCGCGCATGTACTCGCTCATGATGGAGTGTTGGCACGAGGCACCGCTACGCCGGCCACACTTCCCCGAGATACACGCCAGACTGCGCCAGTGGGCTGGGTCCACGCCACCACAGGCCAGCAGCGACCGCACTAACTCTACACAGCTCAGTCGCAACAATCTACAAACACATCCGTCACACCAGCTGGTCGTCAGGCTTCCCCCTCCCTACAATAAGACTGCCACCAACATATGACTGTAGCCTCAGGGTCAGGAGATGTTTGGAAGTTTTTATTGATTTCCCTTACTCAATTAAGTCTGATTTAGTCTACTTTATGGAAAGACTCCACGCTAAGATATTGTATTTTAAAGTGATAGCAGCTTGCTTACCTGAGAAGAAGTCCAAGTTACCCCTAGTACAGACAGAAGACATAGAAAACACACATACACTGTTATCTGTTTTCTTTGTGTACTCTGGCCCACTAGAACTTTTCCTTAGGTAAGTTTTTATTATCTTTGTTCAAAAAAACTTAGTCTACTCTTTCCAGGATAAAGACATTACCATAACTCCAGTACGCTTTTACTGAGCCTATAAAACCAAAAGACAATGAAGAAAAGTAATTACACGCTCAAATCTTATTATTAGAATTAATTGTAATATTAGCTTGAATATTGATTAAGAAATTGTCAAAATTACAGTTGTTTTAAAATATGTCTAGCCTAGAAAATAATCATAACTTTTAGCTGTTTGATCAAATATTACATAAAAGGCACAATGCGTGATAAAAACAACTCAAAATTAGTGATAATTCCCTAAATCAAAATCAATTTATTTGTCCTTTTAAATTGTTAGAATCATCAGTTGCTAAAAGATTTTAAAAATTGCCAAGTAAAATTGCATGATTTTTAATTAAAGTTATTTTGTCCTCTATTAACCAACTATCAATGTCAAATTAAAATACCAAGAGATATTTAAGAAAAATATCAAATCCAATACTTCACTGCTTATAAAAGTCTAAGGAACGCACAGTCACAATACCTAGTTTACTTTAGTGATACATTTTAGACATTTATATATTAAGATTATGTAGAAAACAGACATCAATGTATTTAATTAACATAACAGTATTCTTTTAGTCCATGTTCAAAAGTAGTGTCTAAAGGTTACTTTATAAAAGAACAAGGTAGTGTGCCATTTGCTATTAGGAACATGTTTAATTTTAGTGTGGAATCCCTGGGAGTTATGTTGCCTAAGTTAAACATACCACTTTCACAAAAGATGCTAAGCTAAGTAAGTAGAACTCCAATCATCCGAATCAATTGGATTTGTACCCCATTCAGATGATGACAAATTTTTATAATTAATTGAATAAAAAAAAATCTTGATTTGGCAGAAAGTTCTTAAATAGGCCAAGCTTTTACTATTACGATTGCAGGATGCGTCTCCAAATATCCCGTGACAAAAAAATTTACGTTTATGCTGCGATCAAAGAGGACGATTATGACTTATGACCGTGGGAGACGACAATGTAGGTATATAAGACAGAGGGAGATATTAAAGCTACGGTCACAGAAAAACACGTTTCTGTGACCACGGGGGACGATAATTATGTCTAAAGGACCACAGTGCATGTGCAAGATTTGACGGCTATAGCAAAAAACGATGACAATGTTTCGATGACTGCAGGAGACGATGATGATGCCTACTCGACCACAAGAGAGGTTTTAAATTTGGCCCCAATCACAGCTTCTGACTTTAATAACAATTCTTATTTGTGTTACACAATTTAATAAATTATTTCTGTTAAACGATTCAGATAATCGAGGATACAGATAGCTGAAGTTCAGATAATTGAAGGTCTACTTTATTGTTCAAGAGAATTGAAATACTTTTTTTTATTACAAAACATTGGATTTAGCCATTCTGTACTAAATTAAATCTAATCAGTGCCGTATCAAATAAATATGGGTCATATTTAGGATGCATATTTTTTTATTTGCATAATTTACAATTCAATTCAAATAAATCACAGGAAAAAGTCTTAAATAGAAAATAGTTCTAACCTGTAATTTACTATCAAACAGTAAAGCAATTGTTTTCAACAGTAAAGCACAATTTTACCAACAGGCCTACTGTTAGTTATTTACGCATAATTTTACTTAGTATTATTTGTAATTTAGCATGTACATAGCTGTAATTATGTATATATGTGAATAATTTAGGTATATATTATAGCAATTTTAGTTTTTTTATGAAATGATTTTAACCAAAGTTTGAATTATTTATACTATTTATTTTATACTGATATTTTGCCATGTAGTTTTACATTTTGGTAATGTATAGTCTTATTTTACAATAATGTTCAAGTGAAACATGTAAATATATGATTGTACATGCAAAGATTCAAGAACACGTTCCTGTAATAAGAGTTGTGTGGGTACTGTGAACATCAGTGTGAATTATTTGTAACTAACTGAATGTTGTGTAATGAATTGCTTATTTTTTTTCATGGGATCAAAATGATAAGGTCTTACCATATACAAGTTGGTACATCAATTTTTTAGGAATGTTAATAATTTGTTTATTCTTTACCTTTTGCATTTGAAAGTACAGTAGGGCCTTTATATTAAAAAGGTTTTGTTACTTAATCAAAACGCTCACTTATTTTTATTGTTTCTTGTTGTTTTTAATAAAACCAAATAATAATTATTTATATCTAAAATTTAGCTTTTAAGATTTATAACTGAAATTTTTGTAATATATTTTTATCAATGTTTACTCTTTCTTGTTGTTTTTAGCCCTTCCCATACTCTCATTGTTTGGTATCAAGATCAGCTTTTGAAAAATGATAAGATATTTAGAAGAAATGTTGATTATATTGGTTATGAACATCGTGAGTATTTCCATAATCTTTGAGTCGACTATTTTATAGTAATCGGAAATTATGGCTGTTATACTTTGCAATTGCTTGAATTCGAGCAACAGGTACTGTAGTTTTATTTAAACTAGCTGTTACCCATGGGTTTCACCCCGTTTTACTTCATAAGTATTAAAAAACTATTGATTAGTTAAGTTAAGCTGAAACAAACAAAACAGAATAGAATAATACGAACAAACAATCACACCTGATTTTAATAAGGTAATAAATTGAAAGAATAACAAACAAATAAGTACAGCTGACATATTTTTTACATTAGTTATATGGAAAGTTCCTTTTAGAAAAGAATTACGACCTTAAAGGGCAATTTATGAAATAATGGTTAGTTTTGCACAAGGTTTCTCGTCATGACGAACGTTTTAAGTATATGTTTTATGGGGGTTTGACTTAGTTTACTCAAAGGTTCATGGGTACTTTAGGATTTTTATATGGCTAGATTCTATTTAAAATAAATTCTGGCAAATTGGAATTGGCTTAGTCTGCAGGTTGGCGTCCGATCTGCTTTGGACGGCTTGTCAGCTTCTTTTTGAATGCAAAAACCGTTGTTCTAAAGTTGGTAACCTACCACATAGTTGTGCTACTTGACGGAATCCACGCCGCCCTAATTAAGAATGCATGGAACTGCCACTGACTGATGGAAAGTTCCAATGACTGAATCTTACTTTTTAAATTTCACTCCATAACAAACGCGCTTTACTCAGGTGACCACTGTTCCAACGAGCCTAACCCCGCCACTCTCAGACGAGCTTTTGCTGAACAGTGCGCTGCATAATATAAAAAAGATTGTTTTTTGCCGCTACCTGTATATAGTTAACTTATTTGCAAACCAAATTAACTGTTCGTAATGCTGTTGCATGTTCAATAGATCTTTATGAAATAATAATTAACTACTATATATTTACAGATTTTTTTTCACTCAAGGAGTACCTGAGCAGAGAAGTGCGGAACTGTGATGAGATCTCACAAAAACCCACTATAGAGCAAAAGTTTCACTTCCAAAGCTCAAGGATAAATATTTATTTATTTATGATGGCCTTCCTAGAAATTTTAAAACACTGACAAGCAGTAGGGACAATGTAGTAGTTTCAAGAAAAGAACCTTGACGTGGTAAATAAAATACTGAACCACTCATTATTCCATAATACCAAATACTTATGAAATGGCCAGTTGCATTTTATGTTCGTTTATCTGCCAAGTACAGGTACAATGTGTATGAAGTTTTGTTTACATTATCCACAGAATCTTTGATTTAACACGTTGACCGCGCGTGCCGACTTTAGTCGGCGTCGCCAGCGCTCTCAGGTGGCGCGCGCCGACTAAAGTCGGCACCAGACCAACAGAAATATATGGAGTCAGTGTGAGCTTAGCCTCAGACGGAGACGTTATAATTGTTGCTAGCCTGCCAGCTTAGAATGCGAGCTTTACTTTGGTGTAGGTTGGTACTAAAATTTCCCGTAAAGTCCTGTCTGGCAATGCTTTTGTCCCGGTTTCGGGGATTTTTTCTCTTCAACCCACATAACAAAGACACTGGATACGGATCCGTGCAGTGCTGCTACCTCTGGGTGTTTCAATGAACTACATCCACTCTCGGGGTAACGCAGCACAGTCACCACTGCTCTTTTGTGATTCGTCAGACTGAAATATTTGAATGCCAATTGCGTTCGCTGATTCGGTTGCGCGCCGGGGCTTCGCCCGCCACTGGGGAGCGCCTGTAAAGTCGGCGCGCGCAGTCAACGTGTTAATATGATTCATCTGTGAAATATTTTATAACCGAGAAAGGCTTCAGGCAGTTTTATTTAATTATTCCCTTTATATTTTCTGACTAGAGTTACTGAAAGGATTTTATATGAGCTTACAATATGTATGTCAGAATGAGAGGATTGTGTTACTCTCTAATGTATAGCAATGTCACTCCAAATTCAGACAAAATTTTTGATTTGAATATAACTGCATAGAATTAAAATATTATTTATCAACAACATTGTTTTGTTGATACAAATTATATGTGCTAAACTTGAACAGAATATTGAACACATGAGATATTTTACAAACATAAAACAAGATAGGCCTATTAAAATAAAAAAAAATCATATCAAATAAACTTTTTGCAGATATTACTTAATAATAGCGTAAAAAATCTTGACATAAAAACAAATTTGGTACTGTGGTAGGCCTATAGTATAAATACGCGCTTGTTCACTTGAATGTTACCGAACTTATAACTTAGAATAATTATGTTCCTATACAATTTTCCTCACTCATAAATTTTAATTGTTCGCAACAAACTTAATTCTAAACATAAAATCAGACGCAAAGTTTGATATAAAATCATTTAATATTCTAAAGTCAGAAAGTGGTTTGATTCCAATTTTGACAGTTTTTCTATCGTTAAGTACTTGGTAATTGCGAAAAATATCGTAGGTCACTCAAAATATGTTTACCGCACTTGTATGGTAAACACCTAATTTCGGGACTAGCTAGTAACGTAATAAACTAAAAAAACTATGGTAATAGTTTAGACACACCATGTAGAAATATTCCTAATAGTAAAAAAAATTCAGAATACAGATAGTTATAGTTATTTGTTATATTGTTATTAGTTAAATATTATTAAAAATGATTTTAACTTTTCAAACAGTTAAATGAGTACAGTATGTTTAATGTCTGTTTTTTATGGAATGTATATGCAATTATAGACTTGTATTCTTTGAGTTTCCTCTCCAAACGTACTCCCTTAGGAGCTACAGGATGTTGATGTAGGATTTACACTGTAAGCAACTTTCTCCTCAGGTGTAACACGAGTAACTATAAAGAAAATGTTTCACGTATGTAAATGTGTTTAAATCAAATTTACATTCTAAAACAACCATAAAATACAATAATGCGTTAAAAGAAATTCCAAACTTAGCCACCATGTTAGAAAAGGGCAGTTCGTTAAAAAACGGAATTCATATTTTATATTTATTAAAAAATAGTTGAAGTTTTATATTTACTCTTTTCTATAAATATAATAGTTTCTAAGATACCAATGGTGGCACAGTAAGTTGTTTACCCTGTGTATCTATATATTAAAAATTATTAGTTTTTCTTTTCCGAGTCAGGTTGGCTCTTCTACCCAGTCGATTTTCATAATGTTGGTCCTAAATTAAAAGTATAACCGCACAGGTTTGCCATCAAGCATCCGCATTTATTTATCTGACGTCTTTTCGAGTTGTGCTCAAAATCAACTTCCTCCCTGTACATGTTAAATTTAGTTGTTCTTTTCCAAGTTCGTTTGGCTCTTCTACCACATTGAATTTCAAAATCTTGGTCTTAAATTAAATGTGTCTCAACTTAATAATACGTAACTCCATTTTTTATTTCAGTTATTTTATATGTCTTGGTATTTATTCCCTCCTAGACATAAAGTCTCTCATTTGACATATTGTGTTTGTATCAGTAAAGTTCAAGATAGGTACTGATCGTCAAGGTATTACTCAATCCAAGAACATAAATTGAATTATCTCTCGGATATGGAATTTAACTTTGGATATATATTAACTCCATTCTAATTACGTTATCCTATATGTTTTTATCTAAGAAAATTCAGTGAAATACCAGCATTTATTTCAATTATTGATTATTAAAATCAGACTTACCTAAAGTACGCTGCAGAATCACGAACAACGCAAATTGTTCAAAAATTAATTTATTTATCCTTGATTAATATAGTTAAATGCTTGCTTAATAGTTAAATTTTGCTTGAAACCTCAACAGTAACTGTCGATATCGACGGGTTTTACTTAGTATATTATTAAAAAGGAAACCAAAAGTTGGTAGGTGGTTGAAGGAACAGCCAGGACTGAGCCTAGTCTAATTAATGTTTAACCATGACGACCAACCCCTCTCTACAACTTCTACCACTCTGTTTAAACATCTGGTTAGTTTCATCTTGCGACCAAGTGGTCAAAACCGTGACGGTGTAGCAACTTAGTTTAAAAGAGTTTTTTTCTTTTTTAAATAGTTTAAAAAAATATTAACATTATTTGACTATTCGAGTCAAATAAAAAAAAATAATTCTAGCTATACTTTAATATAATTTAAAGAATCCTAAGACATGACCCAAATAATATGGAGCTTTTGGTAGTCAGTGTTAAAGATGTTAAGGAAGAATGCATTCAAATTGATTGCGATATAAATACGCAATTTGGATAGTTATATCTCACTTCTCCTCACAAAAACAACCAATTGTAGACTTAAAAAAAAAAAATCCCTGACATCAATTGAAATTTTATTTTTCAACTGCTATCCAAAGTAATATTTTTAATTATTCTTTTGAAATCTGCGTTGAAGAGTTATTTACGAATAAGTAAAGTTCGTTACAGTCAAATCCATATCACGTATGTATATAATTGACATTTTATTTTTCAACTGCTATCCAAAGTAATATTTTTAATTATTCTTTTCAAATCTGCGTTGAAGAATTATTTACGAATATAAGTAAAGTTTGTTTCAGTCGAATCCATAAAACCTTATAAATAAGAAGAGCGCCACAACATGCTTAATAAATCGTTGTATATGTCCTGTTAAAAACTGTCAAAGATAAAGTGTATAAAAAGTACCTGCATTTTAAGCTCTAAAGTGATATATAGCTTGTGACAGCAATGAGTGTGTTTGTGTATTCCGCTTCTAGTATTAACAAATTGTTTTTGCCGTTGATTGATTGAGGGATTTCAAGAAAGTTGCTTTTCTCTATGGATACTGGAGTTATTTTAAAGTTTAAAACCTGTTTGGCTCTTTATGCTATTTTATTTGAAAGTTTAT